TACTAGAACCATACGCTGATCAAATTAGAACTATACCGAGCATATGCCAAAGCATATGCAGTGATATATACCAACTATATTAAATCATCATATAAAATATAGCATTTTATAATAAACAATAAATATCGATTATAAGTTTATTGGAAATTAACAATATTGCCGAAATAAATATCGATTCAAATCGATTATTTTTTCCCAAGCCTATTCCTTATGAATTTTCCGGATCTCGGACGCAGCAGTGCACAAGCGTAAACACGTTTTTCATTGCCGCCATCACGGACCTGAAAAATCCGGTCCGGAATAGAGAAAAGTAAAATTCCGGACGGTCAAATTCCTGACAATGCACAAGCGCGCATTACCTACATATGGCCTGACATATCGGACCTGAAAAAATCGGACCGCCGGACATGAAAATTCAGTGTAGTGCACAAGCGCCCTAAAGATACTAATGTCTTAATTAATTTATTTCGTCTCAGAGCGTAGGTAACGATAAAATTACATTTCGCTTTAAACATACCTAAACTACAGTGAGAAAGTATTTAAAAAAAAGAAAGCACTAATAAAAGTTCTCGTTCTAGACTCTCGCAAAAGTTGATTTTTGCAGGAAACAAATGGACCAAAGATAGTAATTTCCATTCCTTTTAAGACCCATATTACATCTCAACTGTGATTACTGCGTGATTTTTCTCGGAAACAAAAATAAGTTAACAATTTTGACTTGTTGAATAGTGAAGAATAACTCTTGGAATAGAAATAAGTGGCCTAACTTTTTGGAAATTTTGCTCATCTTCTTAATTAAACCCAAATTACCAGAGAAAGATTTTCATAAAATGCAAAAAGACACTTTTTTGAAGTCCTGGATTGAGCTACTGTTCTTAACAAACGAAATAAAAGAAATAGAATAATATCTCTTATATAGTCGTCAAGTAAACAGTAGCATCGAAATTTTGAAATAGCACTGATTAAATATAGAAAAACAATCATATTACAAACCAAAAAACATCAAAAATTGCTTGAAGTTAACTTTGGATTTCTCTTAGCCACAACAATATTATTTAACAAAATTTATGCCAGATTAACGACTATTTCATAAAGAACAAAGTTATTATAATTTTAAAGCATAAATTTATTATATTATTTCAATAAATACGATAAATTTAAACGCAAAATCACTACAAAATAAGATGCAGCGGCCGTCTGAGCTCAGTACCGCGCGAGCGCTCCTCAACGTTAGATCTGTGTCGCATTACTTCGCGCCATTTTTCGATTATAGATACATTCGAGCGAGCGTTAATAGAGCAGTATAATGGGACTTCCAACTTTGGTCACGAAGTTCGATTTATATGGAATTTATATAACTTGTTGAATTATTTCTAATACACATTTGTTATTTTCAGCATAGGTCGAAAGACCCCTAGGTATATTTGTATAAGAAAGTTAAAATATTTATATTAAGAAATGCAAATAAAGCGCGGTACTTCTTCTCTCAATACACTTATACTAGTACATAAAAATTGGAGTGCATATTTGTAATATTAAAATAACCGCTTTTCACTAAATACATTTGTGTGTATACATGGTACATATACAAAGATAATATATTTTATCTTTCTGTCTGTTAGTTCTGGCTAATCTCTGAAACGGTTAGGCCGATTTTGAAGAGACTTTCACTAGAAGTTGACTTACGTAAAGAGGATTAACTTAGACTTATGGCTCGATGCAATTCGACCGATATCAAATTTATCGGAGATCCGCATATCAAACAACTTTTTCTAAATTAGTCGCGGGCACAACTAGTTTAATATAATTCTAATTTACTACTTTTCAAAACAGGAAACAGTCCATGTTTCCTATGAATGACGAAAATATTTCGAAATCGTTGACGAAGAATATGGCACGAATATTTTTTAATTAATATTTATATTATTGACGCCCAAAGACGCTATATTCATGAATCCGTGAATAATCAAGATTCTAGGAAAGTGTGGAAATTCCTAAAATCTCTTGGAGTTGGAAAATCTCATAATAAAATGTCCGATACCAACCTCGACATTAACAAACTTAATAGCTACTTCTCTACTTCTGCCCCTATTGACGGCAATCGTAAGGCTGAAACATTACATCATCTTTCAAGTCTACCAACTCTTGATTCTCCATTTTTCCTTCGCCAATTTGCGGACTGTGATGTCGAGAGAACTATCTTGTCGATCAATTCCAGTGTAGTGGGTAGTGATTCCATTAGTCGCAAAATGATCCTACCTCTAATTCATATCCTGTCCCCGATAATAACTAAGATTCTGAATACTTCAATCTCATCTGGAGTTTTTCCTTCATCTTGGAAAGATGCAAATCTAATTCCTCTCCCAAAAAAGGCAAACCCATCATCGTTTTCTGAATACCGTCCCATTTCCATTCTTCCATTTCTCTCCAAAGTCCTTGAAAAACTTGTAAACCGTCAGTTACTGGCTTTTCTTAATTCAAACCACCTTCTTAATCCATTTCAATCCGGCTTTCGTACTGGCCATAGCACTACTACTGCATTGGTAAAGATTACTGATGATATTCGACGAGGGATGGAAAATCGTCAGCTTACGTTGTTGACGTTGTTAGATTTTAGCAATGCCTTCAATACGGTTGATTTTGACATCCTTCTCGGTGTTATGACTTCTCTCAACATATCTCCAGCTGCAATTGCCTGGTTTCGAAGTTACCTGCTAGGACGCCGGCAGAGGATCCACATTGACGAGTCCGTCTCTACGTGGTGCGATATCAAAGCTGGTGTTCCTCAGGGTGGCGTCTTATCTCCTCTTCTCTTCTCTATATTTATAAATTCCATAACTGAATTACTTTCTTGTTCCTATCACCTCTATGCCGATGACCTTCAAATTTATACCCAAGCGCCTTTTTCGCACTTATCAGAGGCAGTCTCAGTGATAAACTCTGACCTGTCTCGCATTAGTAAATGGTGTGATTCATTCGGTCTTACTGTGAACCCCTCTAAAACTCAAGCGATTCTAATTGGCAGTTCTCATTACATTTCTAGAGTTAGTTCTGAGTTGCTACCTTCAGTAATTTTCAACGGATTTGTAATTCCCTATTCAAAAACAGTTAGAAACCTTGGCGTCATCTTCGATCAAAATCTTTCTTGGAAGCCGCAGGTGGAGGCCGTTAGAAAAAAGGTATTTGCCACGTACTATTCACTAAATAGACTACGCAACTTTTTGCCTACTAGAACTAAAGTCTCTTTAGCGTATTCGTTATTATTATCGATCATAGACTACGCTGATGTTTGTTACACGGATCTATCAGAGGAACTTCTTAACAAATTGGAGCGTCTGCAGAATATTTGTATCCGATTCATTTTCAACCTTCGTAAATTTGACCATGTGTCGAATTTTCGTTCCAGATTGTCTTGGCTCCCTATTCGCCGGCGCAGGGACTTACATACTTTAAAGTTACTATATTCTATACTTTTCCTACCTTCCTCTCCACATTATCTCAAACAATGTTTCTCTTTTCGTTCTTCTTTGTCACTGAGTTCCTTGCGATCCTCATCCAACCTCACTTTGGACATCCCTCGTCATACTTCCGATTTCTTCTCCTATTCCTTTTCTGTACATGCTGTGCGTTTATGGAATTCTCTCCCGGAGGATGTCAGGAACAGTCGCTCTCTAAATTCTTTCGGCGATCGAGTTGAAAGCTATTTCCTTTCTCTATGCTAATGCTATTTACTTATACTTTCTTATTTAAAATGTATGTAATATATGTGTAAGATATATCTTATCCCTTCTGACTATTGCACCCAATACCCCATATTTTGCCTTTCCTTTTATTATTCTCCTCCATAGGTTGCCTGGAAGAGATCGCTGTTTAGCGATAAGGCCGCCTTTTGTGTACTCTGTATTGTTTACCGTGTAATTTCGTTTTGTTTTCCTGTCTGTATGTGTGCAATAAAGATTATATTATTATTATTATTTTTATAGATATATTATCATCGCTATTTATATTAATATCCTATGATTTGGCATAACTTGTTTCTTTTAATTTTTGTCCGATCTTAGCAGTCGTGTTTTAATTTTTAAATAATTATTTATATTTTATTCCTTTTAGTGAGCAGCTAATTTTGTATAGAGATTATTTATTTTTAATGGACCTTTAATTTGATACCCATAAAGTTATGATTATAATAAAACATACTTTTTTAAATGGCGTCACACGTCCCCATACCTATTTAATATTAATAAATAAAGCTAGTTTCACTGATACTCTATGTATTTTGTGGTAACTTAGGATGATGTTTCTAATGATACCCTAACATTCATATCCGTAATATCTTTCAAAAGTTATGGTGCAATAAAAAACTCACATACATACATTAATTCTAAAAACAATAGACTCCTTTTCGAGAGCAGTCGTGTTAAAATATTCGGGAATCGATAATGAATCTCACCATAGAAATACTAAAATAAAAACAAAAATTGGGAAAAGTATCAAAATAGTTTGAACGTGATTTCAACACAGTATTGTGGACTCGTGACCTTGAACAAGTTGTCGAGAACTCGGAACGCTTCAAAATACCTAATCTCACAGAGTGAAAATTTGTCATATGGCTCTTAACTAACATATTAAAAATTGAAATTTGCAAAGTTCAAAATTTAGATATACTTCGAAAGTATAAATAGAATAACTCGTATTGTTTATTGAGTTTTGACATGGAGAAATCAAGAAAGTACCGTAGCGACATCTAGTTTGATTTCGGGAACTAATGTTTTTTTTTAAAAACTTCCTCATTGTGTGTGCTGCCATATCGAGACCATATGAAACTATTGAGCACCATCTCGCGAGTAAAGACAAAGTTGAAGACCCATCTCTTTCGTCATACAAAATAGAAATATAGGTATATACTTTCCGTATTATTACTGTTCTCTTTGGTATATACTGAAATGACCCTGCTTCACTCGATAAATATGTGCTTTACTCTTTGCACAAACTACAAAGTTATACTTTGATTGTGTCATTGAATGAAAATCGACGATTAAATTTAAATTTTAAATACGAAGCTTAAACATTGTTGGCTGAAAAGCTTACATGTATTTTGCGTTTGTGCCATTTCTAAAGAACTAAATAATAGGAAACATAGTTTTTTTCCAACATGTCATCTTATAAAGTAAGTATATTTTCGAGGTAAATGTTTTTTAAAAAATTTGCAAATAGTACAACCATTTTTGTTGTGTATTTCATAACAGCCTATAGACTCAAAAAGAGAAGAATTCAGACGATATTTAGAGAGAGCCGGCGTTATGGACGCGCTTACTAAAGTTCTTGTCAGTCTTTACGAAGAACCTGATAAACCTGAAGATGCTTTAGAATATGTTCGTAAACACTTAGGCACGGACGGAGGAGAGGATGAACTTGAAGCGGCTCGAGCTCGAATTGCAGAATTAGAAGCCGAGAATGCTTTACTAAAAGGAGAAGCTGCACCGGCAGAAGGATAAGCAGACCAACTGGCATCAATAGTTATGAAGCATGAACACTAACTCAAAGTCCTAAAAATCAGAGGTCACTATGTACTTTACTATTAAATACAGCAACAATTTTATATTACTATTTAAAATAGGAACATCTAAATACAATTGCAGTGATTGTGTTCATGTAATAAGGCACTTGAATTTATGACATGTTAAATTTCATATGATCTCAATAATAGCTTTTTTATAGATCTCAAAACATAATGATTTTTGTGTTGATTAATTAATTGTTATAAACATGGAAGTATTATTTTTTGTTACATTAAGTTTGATAAAGTGCAAGACAGCACAATAAATATTTTGGTTTTTATAATAAATTCTTTTATTTAATATCCTAAACATTTAATTATAAAACTTGCTATTGGATAAGAAAGATGACTACTGGAAGCAATGAGAGTTGGTGAGGTTTTAGATAATCTACTTGTACTTTTGTAGTTTACTGATATAGAAGTAGGAATACCTACTCCTATAATAATAAGCTAATTTGCAACACTCGTAAACTAGTGCTGGTTTAGTCATATTTAGAAAATGCTTTCTTTTTCTATTTGTCTTAAGCCTAGTACTTCTGTTGTTTCTATACAAGAACTTTACTGACTTTGCTCCTTTAATAAATAAGATTTGAAAAATTGTAATGACTATAAATTGTGATATGCAGTTAGCAACCTTGTTGCTGGCTAAGGCCTTAAGGGAAGCTGCACTTCCCTTTACTTTGCCACCTCATATTAGCTATAACACCTACCAAATTTTCGCTTGATGTGTGTGTTTGCAATTATTGAATGTCACCCTCATCAATTTTGAAATTAAATCCCTTATTAAATAGGGACTAGTTCTTATTAAATAGTTTCGGAGATAAACAAATCTTAGGGCACTGCTGAGCTGATGTCAGTCTGCCAGTGCCACAGCTAGCTGCTGGGCCGGCGCACCTAGAACTAGCACTTTAGAAGCTCAATTTTTTTTATTATCAATTAAATTTATCCTGCAAGTATCATCTCTCTAGGGTATCATGAAGTTGAATAAAGTACGCAAACAGTTTGATCTCAACCACAAAGCATTTTACCGCTCTGACTATTCCAATGGAATGTTTTAGTCTCATATTATTGTGATGAAATAATGTTATAATGTGATCAAACCTAGAATCAGAATAATTAAATATGGAACGTCTGATGAATTTTATCAACAGAAAGCAAACTTTCCTGGTGATAAAATCATAGCAAGCACATTAGCACACATTCATACCATACCATAAATCGGGACTAGATGGATCAAGAATTCATCATAATCGAAGAGGGCAGTCCTGCCAGCCTATTTTTTTAATTCATTATAAATACAGAGTACTGCCGGATTGAAATCAGCCCAGCAGCGCTACAGACTTATTCTATTGTCCTCATTTCGTAACGAACCACCAACTGATAAATAATTTACACTCTCCACTTCAGTTGACACTTCGTTAAAGACACCGTCATTATATACGTGATAAATGTTCTATTGTGCTTTTGATCGCATTTTGACGATTGCATGTCCGGAATGGATTACTTACACTAAGTTATAAGAACAATAAACTCTGGGAGGCATTTCTGTTAGCCACACAGTTTTACTGTTGTTATTAATGCACGACACATAAGTTGACCCAAAATGGAGAATATGCAGTAGATTATTTTAGGTCTCTATGAGGTGTAGAGAGATAAGCAGCACGTAACCATAGCTACGCAGTGTACTGGAAACCAGAACCTGTGTGGAAAACCGCCTTTTTTGGTCAACTTACGCCTTTTCTGCGCCGCACATTTTGGGTAAGTATTCATAAATATTCCAGTATAAAATAGTAAAATAGAAAGATACAAAACGGTAACTGATTCAGCTTATTTATTTCGTGCTTTCCTAAATAGTACTAAATTTTTGTTTCTTATGCTGAGGCACTGATTAACTCAGTGTATTTCTTTACTTTACTAGCAACACTCATATCCACATATTTGTCACCAATAGACACCACCATACCACCAATCAAAGAAGGATCAACTTTGGCTGTCAGCTGAAGCGTTTCATTACCTTTAAGGAATTTCTGTGGACAATGAAATATTAAACCAGTTTATATATCTTGCTATAATTGTACTTATCTAGCAATAATGACATCAAAACTGTTTTAATACCTTAAGTGCAGCTTCTAAATTTTGACGTTGGGCTTGATCTAATGGTTTTGCAGTTACCACTTCACATGTTACCTCGCCACGATGGGCAGCCATCATAATCTTGTAGGCATTGATCACAGACTCCAATTTGTCAAGACGACCATTTTCAGCCATGATGCCGAGCAAGTTACTGGTAGTAGCTGACATATTAGTCTGAAAACAATATTTGTTCATAGGATGGTGAAAACATGCAATTAAAATGATATATTATATTAATATAACTGAATAAATTATTAAGAATTATTGGCCTCAGTGTGAAAAACTTTGTTGTAGATAGTTCTAAGATTAAAAACATAATTATAAATGCTATGTTAAATCAATAAATATCCAGGACTGTTAATTGTAAGCTTAGCTTCTGATATTATAATGGTTGCAATACAAACATTTTATGTTCAAAATTTAATCAATGTACACAATTCAACTTAAAAAAAATATAGATGGCACCATCACCACCATCACTTAACAAATTAAATATTTGTCAAAATTATACAAAGTCAAAACATGCGTTTTTTTAATTTTGTTTTATATTACAGCCAAATTCGATGAAGAATGTTTATTAACAGTTTAGCTTAGCAACCAGTGACAGGCAGATATTAATAACAACATTATATTGTTATTAATGTTTTGAAAATAACCTTATCTTTATAATTTAATGTACAATGTTTTAACATTACAAGGAATATGTCATGTGTAAACAAAAACCAGCAAAAAACCATGTTTATTTATAAATGTATAAATATGCATGTTTTATAGTAATTGCCAACTTTACTTGGAAAATTAGTTTAAAACTGCAAACATGTTTTGATATCTGAATTCTATAAGTCATAGAGCTGTCAAGTAAAAATGATATCAGCATTATTACTATTATCCATTTTTTGTTAGAATATTAGTTTTATGGTTAAAGTTACTGGTAATTTATGGCAGTAAAAAAAAATATTCATAAAACTATGAATCAATGTTATATATAAATATTTTATCATCTAAGTTGTGGAAAATATAATTTGCCTAATTTGCTTTGTTTACATTTATTTTTCATTGCATTTGGCTGGAGTATCATAGATACTTTTTAAATTATAAAAAGCATTGAAAATGTACCACAAACTAAAGTAGTCATTATTATATTTAGGTTTATTTTGTTACACTAGATAGCACTTCAATTAAAAATTATTTATTTGTGGTGTGAGACTGAAAATCAAGAAGTCAACTCTATCTGACTTTTAGTATTTGGGTTTATATGTAATGGTACATAAATAACATTGAGTAAAGATGCAAGGTAACTAAAATAGTTTGATGCATTACCTAAGTTAGGAAGGTGATATATTTTCCTATAGGTATATTTGTGTATCTGTATGTACTCAAACAGATACACAAATATATAGTGCTACTGCACTATAAGATCTCTATGTTACTATGTACACAACATAACCTAGGTTAATTAATATATATATAAGTAATATACGTAATTGATTTTGCTTTTAATACCTTTGTTGCGAGATGCTTAAGAGCATCAACTTTGAGGTTCCTTTTCAGAGTCGGATTAATGATAAATTCTTTGAGCTTGGCATCAGTTTTAATAGACTTCTGAAATTGTGTAAGTTCTTTTTCGACCGCATCTAGGGTTTTGCTTTTGGTCGCAGCTGAGTAAAGAGCTGATGCATATCTGCCTTCCAATCCAAACACCTGAACTGGAGCTTTTACGAGCTGAGCTGCTGCAGCAGATGTGCTCAGTGACCGCACCTGAAAGAATATTACGTAATTTCACATTACTTACTGACTATAAATATGTATCTATTTACATTATCCATTTATATGACTATACCAATATATTTGTCCTCATTGCAGACATGTCTTTTTAATTCGATTGTTAATCAAATTCTATGGGACTAAGTAATTAAATTAATCGAAGAGAAGACCTGAAGTGACATTGACTGAAGTGAGCACTTTGACTTTAGTAAAGGCTATGCATGCACTGGTGACTGTGTCACAGTGACAATAAAATTATTGTCACTGTCATGCCATCACCAAGATACAATAAAATTATTACAATAAAAAAATAAAATTATTATCACTGTCATGAAATGTAATGAAATGAAAATGAAATGAAATGAAAACACAGATCACTAAATATGTAGCAATGAAAATATCTTTATTCAAGTAGGCTATTACAAGCACTTTTGAATCGTCCAAAAAAAAAATTTTTTTCCCCTACCATTTGTTCAGGACGTCTTTTAGCTGACAAGAAGAACAAGCGAAAGAAACTTACCAGCTTTTTATCATAAGTAATAACATTTACATAAATCATGTCATTACCAAAATAATATGTATTATCACAATAATAAATACAACTTTCAAAGTCTGTAGGACATAGGTTGAACATATAATTAGTCTTTATAGAACAAAGCGAAGGCTATTAATTCCATGCATTGCGGAGCCTTAAAATAATCATCAACTTTATAATAGCCTTTACTCATAAGTATATTCTTTACATGAATTTGAAATTTATTTATGGGTAGGTCAATTACATTTTGTGGAACTTTATTGAACATAGTAATACATTTACCCAGAAATGATGCTCTGGTTTTTTGAAGCCTGAAGCTTGGAACGGCAAGTTTATTTTTATTTCTTGTGTTAAGATTATGAACACCCCTTTTTTTTGTGTACATAATATTCTCATTGATGTATTGAGAGGCAAAAGTCAGAATATTTATTTCTTTAAATATTTCTCTGAGAGATTCCCTAGACCGTAAATTATATATAGCCATCACCAAGAGTTACTTTATTACGCGCGCTATGAGGAAGTATTTAAAAAAAGAAAGTACCAACACTAGATGGCGACTCTAGCAAAAGTTGATTTTTGCAGGAAACGAATGGACCAAACACAATAATTTCCGTTTCTTTTAATTAACATATTATAACTGAAATTTGAAAAGGTCGAAACTTAGATATCAATACAAATACTAAAAGGTATAAATAGAATATGAGTTGTTTATTGCGTTTTGAAAACGAATTTACTTTTAAATTTGAAAGAAAACCGGAAAGGTTGTCATGGAGAAATCAAGAACGTACCGTAGCGACATCTGTCTGAGTTTGATTTCGGAAACTATATTTTTTTTAAATACTTCCTCATAGTGATAATGATGCAATAGAGTTACTGATATTTTTCAATCAATATTTTAAAATGAAAGTATACAGATACAAGTCCTTAAAAAATCACTACGTGTCTGGTTTGTTGTCAGATGCCATGCGTGCACCGCCATTTGAGTTCAGAAATTTGGTACAGTAACAGAACAAAAAGATCATCGTGACAGAAAATCACCAGTGTCGGCGTAGTCTAATAATTTTACTACGGCAAAGGGATTTTACATAGATCTTATCTAACCCATACAGCCTGAAATTCTCAAGTCTAAAGCTGACTACGTTCGCCATTGCAGAATTGAGTCAAATCGTAAAAGTTGAATATTGTGAGAATTTCTGAGTAACAATAGAAGCAAGGCAGGACAAACATAGATTGTAAACACTTAAACTAAAGTTTCCTCAAGGCGACAGCCAGGCTCAAAAAGTATAGATAATGGTAAAGTGATTGTAGATGCCTACAAAGCCTGGCTGATCGCTGATTTTTTTTTTCATTGCCATGTTTCATTCATTTCATTTTCATTTCACATGTAAAAATTAATTTATTTACTTGACATTGGCAGAATTGTGCGAAATGCGCAGATTAGCCATTAATTAAAAAAGAAGAAGAAGAAGGCTGATCGCCTTATGGATCGTGGGAAAAATTGAACCAAAAAAAAAAAAAAGCTTTATGGATCGCTGTCAATTGTTGACTGCTGTACTGTCAGCTGTTATATCCATTACACCTACTAAGTCTGTGATTACGTCTCACGAAAGGAGTTCCTCCATAATGTTTTCGCTTGTATTACAAAGGAATAAGAGTTCTGCTGCGGCACTTACTTCATGAGACAGACTACTCAGTTTATACCACAGATTAAGAATTAGGTTTATACTCTATCTGTCACCCGTACCGTTTTGAAAACCTGTTCAAGAATCTATTCACTACGTGTTCGATACGTTTATCTTAAATGGGCAGGTTTAGCTAGCATTAATTATGTCGAGACAAATTGACTCAAATATTAACAATTTACTAGATGGATTTGGTTTAGAAGGTGATGAGAACGATTTTTGCGACTTCACTATCGCAGATCAAAATTCTGTAGCAGAATCTCAAGGTATAACACCCACTACGCCTTCCACTTTTAAACCTCTTCTTGGTGGAAATGTGACATATGTAGTAGCATGCGTGTTGCTGAATGAAGATAATGAAGTTCTAATGATGCAGGAAGCTAAAGAAAGTTGTGCTGGTAAATGGTATTTACCTGCTGGACGCATGGAAAAAAATGAGACTATTATTCAAGCGACTAAAAGAGAAGTTTTAGAAGAAACTGGTTTGCAGTGTGATCCAAAAACATTATTGGTTGTGGAAACTGCTGGTGGCACTTGGTACAGATTTGTTTTGACTGGTGATGTAGTTGGTGGTGAAATAAAAACTCCAGCTAATGCAGATAAAGAATCATTACAAGCAAAATGGATCTCCAATTTACAAGAAATAACCCTACGCTCAAATGACATTATACATCTTATAGATAAAGCAAAACTTTATAAACAGAATCTCAATAAGGGCTCTTGGCATAGAAATATTTTACCAGCATTGATTCCACATGCTAAAGATCTACTGAGATTAATCATTGTTATAAAGAAAAAAAGTACAAATAAATTACATGTTTTACTCAGTGAAAAAACTTCAATACATTTTCCAACATGTGAAATAAATCCAGCAAAAAGTGTGCATTCTACACTTAGAAGGTTTATGGTTGAAATGTTTGGTGCTGATGTTGGTCAACATCGTCCTTTAGGCTTGCTTAATGTGGAGGCTGATCCAGCAGCTGATGGATTATGTCTTTCACTATTGGTTGCATTTCGAGCTCCACTTGAGGAAGTACCTGTGATTGGTAAATGTGTTTGGCAAGAGCTATCTCGAGACAATGAAAATAGATTGCTCTCTATAATAACAGCAAAAAATATGGCAATTGAATTGCATGTGGTACGTTGAAACTTACATAAATCTTCAAATTTTAATGTCAACAAATTCTAATACTCTAGAAACTGTATATTTAAAGTTGTCTTAAAGTTTTTACTTTTAACTCCTATAATCTCTGAATTAGGTAAAAAAATCATTGACTAGATCAACTGCAATCTAATAGTTTGACGGGAAAATTTATATGTTAAAGGCTATACAGCTAGTTATTTTTGAAATAGAATCCTATCTATTATTTGATAATCAGATCAGAGTCATGATTGGAATTCACCAAAACTAAAAAATGTGTCAATCATTTGGTATGGCATCTGGGTGTTCTATTGACATGCTTTTTGTTTCTCTTAATTGTGACTTGTTTGTATTCATAAAATATTATCCATTTGATTTGTATAGAGGGCTTGATCTCAACATTTAATGAATAAATATGATGGACAGAATTTAGAACTCCACTCTACAAATTCCTAGATTTAAATTGATTCTACTATTTGTTATTGTACAATACAATTGTGATCAGTCAACTATAATTTCTTCTATCTGACAATTATTTTATCTTATTTCAAACAACTATTTTCTTATTATCTTAATTTTTTCTAGCAATCTTGATACTATACTAATATTTTGAAGTTCTCTATATCAGTTTGTTTTTTATATTGAAAATTCTTTCATTTTCCAATTTGATACTCATTGTCAGTTCTGATCTGACTTATGTAAAAGTATAACATGTGCATAAAATGAGTATTGCAAAGTGCATTATGTGTCTATTTCAATTATTAGGCTTGGAGAATTGAAAAAGTAATGTACGAATATTTTATACATATGCATCACAGTATAAGTTGTTTGTAACTACATGTTTAATTAGTTTTTTGCTTTGAGGGACAAATTTCCTTTAAATTGTCTGCATCCTCTCTCTAGTCATTCAGTTTTTCCATATCTAATTATTATATTTTGTCTAAATCTAATTATAATTTATTTTTTATCTTTTTCTCTTGTGTTTTTGTTCTAACTTTTTCTCACATTGTTTTCCTTCAGCTTAATTCAAGTTTTTACATGCATTCCATGGATGCTAGGTTCTCACCATCTTCTGGTGGCAGGAGAAGGCACTGGTTTACATGTCCCGTTTTCTGACAGTCTGACTTCTATTAAACAACCCCTCATTTAATAGAGGACTACTGTTACTGACCCCTATAGGAGAAGGTTATGTGTAACTGTGCAATCTCAATTTTCTATACTGGTCTTAATGAAGGCCTAAGGTGCTCTTCGGTTCCCTCTTAGGCTTACTTTTCTGGAACCCCATCTGAACCTATCCTTTATAAATCTCTTCCGCTATTTCTATTGGTGATCGGCGCTGCAACTCCAGATGAGGTGCCAAGCACCCCATGTGGTAAGCCACGCCGTGCAGCGAGGAACATCGCCCTTCATAGATTAATGGAACCTTAAGAATGTGCTATGGATCTAGTGTATTCATTGTTACCCAGGGATCTGTTTTAGCAATATCTTAATTCTTAACTCTTGCTTTGTGCATGATTTCAGCAAAACTGTAATAGCCTTCTACTGAAATTCTTTCTTGTCTGTCCCTTTGGTCTAAAATTATTCTTCTTTTAACAGATATCCTAAATTGTCCATTCCAGTTAAAGAATTAGGTATTGATGTCACCTTTCCGCTTTCCACATTTTATATTTGATTTTCCCTGTTGTACTTAAGTGGTAATTTTACATGATCATTGCCTTTCGGGAATGTATCGTATGTTACATTTCTTCATAAAGAGAGGCAATATTGCTTCTCGTCTTCTTCTTCTCGGTCGCATCGTGGTCCCCGGTTGAGGGTTTGTAACATGGTTCACGATACGTCGCCACTCGTCTCGAACGCTGCCACAATGTTTTATTGACACTAAATTGTCTAGTTTTTCAAGAAATTCAAAGAGGTGTCCAGTCTATAAAATCATGGTGATTTCTTCGTATTGATCGATATTTTCAGTTTTTCGGAAAATTATTTCCGTTATTTTTTGATGAATTGCTACCAATTCCGTTTCTTTGCGTTTCACTAATTTAAAAACTGAATTTTTCTGAGAAACTAACTATAGTATTTGAAAACCTTCCATCGTTCGTATAACAGTTGAGTTTGCATTTCGCACTTTTCATTTTCGGGTGACCACATCTCTGAAGTAATATCAACATTCCACAAAGTTTAAAAATTCACAATGTGATGTCACATCGCAATTTTATAAAAACAAGCCCTAACTGATTACTAATAAGACAGAGCCTATGCCGCTCTAGAATTCTTATGTAGTATGTACTTAAAATAACTATATCAACTATTGTTTTAGCATATTTTTAATAATAAAAAATATATAAACTTAGACTAACATAGACTTAAAGTGCTTGCAAACTTAATGTTGGTTTTAAAGTGAAGAAATCTACGGCATTATCATCAAATTATGATTAATACAAGCCATGTTAGCAAGGGGGTGGGGGAGTATATAATCTAGCAATATCTAATAGATGTTGCTCGATTGAAGGTTCTCATTCATGTTGTTTATTTTATAAATACAAATTTCCCACCTGAGCAACTCGCAAAAGCAGTTACTATTTTTTGAGCTATAGATATATGGAATATATGTATGGTTTTAGCAGTTATTGGTTGCCACTATTTCATATTCGTCCCGCCATTTACCCCTCTAACATATAAACAACTTACGAATGCAGCGCGTTGTCGCGATATCGATGTCACAAATACAACACAATAAGTTTGCATTGCTTCTCATAAATCTTTATCCATGTAATTCGGGCTTTAAACTGTAACCAATGGTATTAGGTACTTATATTTCTGTTGTTATTTTTTTATATACATTTTTAAATAAATTTATTATTAATTCAACTGTCTTTTTGTAAAACTATCAACAATGTTATGCATTTTAATAGAAAAAGGCATATGCCGGCATCGCTGCACATTTTGCCGTTTTTTTTAATAACTAACCGAAACGCTTGTTATCAAGCCTATAATATAAGCCTGGAATAAATATTAATGCCCTTTCCTTTTGTATGTTTTGCGTTCATTTTTGAAAATGCCAATTTATATGTTAAAATGAAAGAAATATGTATAAAGAGACGACTTTTTACAACATTGCCAAAAGTAGTGATAAGATTAGAGACATTTGCTAAATTTATTATTTGATTGAAATAAGTTTACTTTTTGTAGAAATTATAAAAATATTTACTTGTTTCAGTCAGTCAAGCTTAAAAGATAATAAAACTTAACTGTCAATAGGTTAACACTAAAATGGCGGCCAGGCGCATTTACAATTTTGCGGGGATTATACAACCGCTCACACCGCCACATTTTCAATAATTCGCAGCCTGAATCAAATCGATGCTCGTAGCCTGATGGCCGCATTCTATGTATTCACACTATAAAAAGTATGTCATTCTGATAGGGGCAAGGCATACATTTAACTACATACGTAAGACGATTTAGGATCACTGGCTTATTTTTCTTAGAGATATCTTAGATATGAGTCTCGATTGTTCATAAGTAATATCGTAGTTAATTATACCTTAAAATGCGCGCAACGGCACGAATGCGAATAAATAAAAAATACCTGTTATTTATAAAACATAAGTTCCTATTTGATTCTTTAAAAGTTTTTATTTGGTCTGAGCTTTAAAAACACGGAATAGAAGAAAATAGGGTATATTTGTTTTCTTTTCTTTATATTCATACGTAATAATTATTAAAAAAGACAGAAAAATCGTCTTACGTAACAAACGGATGACGTCTAGAAAGATAGTTGACATACAAAAACACGTATTCTCTTTTTTTTTCAATCAGCAGGGTCCGACCTACAACAGTCCGACCTTTTTTTTGACCGAAGGGAACCAATCTTAACATTTCATCGACAAAACAGACTAAACCGGGGCTCTTCAACTGTAATACATGACATGACTGCATTTTTTGTTACATTTGCCAGTAGATAAATATGTAGGTATATGTAGCAGAATAAACACAGTTCATTACCACAATCTTTCCCCAATCAGCCCTGCGATTCTGTAAAAATCCAGACCCGAATTCGAATTCACTCATGTGTCCGAATTCCCGTCATTTAGTGTAAAAATTCTATTAAATCCATTTTTTTGTATAAAAATACAAAACAAAATTGATTGAATATACGGGTCTCAGATATTCTATTCCTATATCATTTCGAATCTCACTTCACTTATGCTACGAAACGTTATTACCAATTCAAGGTTCTGCTTATGCCTCTTTTTGAAGTCAATTCGGACACCTGAGAGAATTCGAATTCGGGTTTGGAGTTTTACAGAATCGCAGGGCAGTTCAGAGTACGGATAATCGACGTTCTACTGTAAATTCAAAACAAAAAAGAAGTTCTATTCAGGTTCTCGCACTGGCAGGATGTTCTTTTTCTAACAAAATTGTATCATTACATGTAATATAATATATATGTATATATATTATACAGGCTTAATTAGCTTTTAGTCCAAGCTATTAACAATGAAAGTGATAACTTATTTCAAGATTTTGTATGATTTATTAAAGCGATACAAAACTTTGCACTGACTAGACAAATCTATTAACAAACTGGTAATGCAAAAAATAATTTAATTTCATCATTCAATACTATATTACAAAAAAAAAAAAAAATAATAGCTACCTACCCACATAAAAATTCACTAACAGTTTAACTGTTAATTTTTATGATGTCGAATGAATTAAATTCAGTTGAAATTAAGCATTCACTCACTCTATGTTAACAAAGTGGCTACATTGTCATCATATTCACACGCGTAGTTAATACATTTTACATAATCGTGTAATTAAAAAAATCTTCCACAAGTAATAAAACCAACTAGGTTATATTATATAAATATTTATAATTAAAGTTGAAATCGAGTATAACAAACAAAGACAATAACAAGGTTATAACTAATTGTCAACTGTAAAGAAAAATATAATGAAATAGTTATACCCATTTCACCTTTTGGTGTTTGATTTAAAGATATTTTAAAGCCATATTACTATTGATGAGTTCTTTATATTTAATTGGTAATCTTATCCAAAGGCGCCGGGCAGGGAGGTGCAAGGGGATTAAACAGAACGATCGGAAAAGAAAAACACACTAAAATTCAAATTTAAAACAAAATCATTATGTTTGATCAATTTGCATTCACAATGCTATACTGAAAATATTCTTAATGAAAAATACTTAAAAAATCCATTTGTCAAAGGTACTGTTGTTGTTTTGCAATCCGCGCGACTGCTCTAATCAGCGAGCTACCCAGGACCTAACAGGGCTGACTAATTTTTCAAGTATTTGTTACTTATTTCCTCACGAGTGCCCGGGGCATGTGGATTTTTAAGCATTATTCATTAAGAATAAAAAAATATCAAAAATTTTGTTTGCTCAAAATTATTAGCAATCTATACTCTTTGATATGATCCTGTATTTTTTTTACAACAATGAACCACCCCGTATACATAAGCACCTCCCTGAAAGTAATAGTGGCGGCGTCCAAGATTATTGTATTAAGGCCGAATTAGAACCTATTTAATAAAAAATAAACTGCTACAATAGCTGTAAAGTCTCATTCTAGGGCATGGGAAAAAACAATTTCGTGATCATAAACTGTTGTAACAAATACATAGATCCTATCCGACCAGCACGCGTAGAATGACCAACTCGAAAGAGTCTAGGAACAGATCGAGAATATTGTATTCTTTTTTTTTAATTAATGGCGTTGCCCTTGTGGATTTTAGCGCACCCGAGAAAAGTCACGTTTGAGTATAGACAAAACTTTCTCGAATCCGTCATGCTACTACTAGGTGCTGACTTTGTACATATTTTCAATTACGAAATACATATATCTAACATATGCCAAATACCCTAAAACGATATAATATAATATCATAATTGAGACATACTTATACATGTGAGAATATTTTATGAAATCTTTGAGCCTCACTTTATATTTTAACCTTGATATTTTATGCACATTCTGGTATGCCAGAATGCGATAGAAAATCTGTAAACGGTGACTTTCTATGTTTTACACCCGGTTTCTGAATTGAGAATTTAAAGTTAAGTAAGTCTGAAGCCGTACTTAAGTTGTCTTAAACGTTTTTTATAATATAAAAACATTTAAATAAATTATATATTTTTTTAACGATCAGTCGATAGCAGTTTCATAAAACTAAGACTTTTTGCCACTTGAAACGTAAAGTAAACTTAAACTTAAGTTGTTATTGAGATTTTGTACTTTTCTCAATTCAGAAACAGGCCGTTAGAGAGCTTATGGTAGCGGCTCTAGCGGAAACATCAAACGCGGTAGCCCTCACTGGTGTGAGAGATCGCTATGCGCGTGTATAGCACCATTCCGCATCGAACACTGTAGTTGCTTTACTTTGATCAAACCTCAACAAAGTATTTTCATGCTTTTCATAATACACACGAATACTTTATAAATATTTAATTCATTCGATCTATCATTCATTGACAATATAGCGTATTGTTTTTGTCCTATTTCAAACATAAATAAAATTTGATAAACTTTGAATAATTTTAAATATTACATTATACATGTGAAATCATTCAAATAAAGACCATTGTACACACTTGTACGTAGTACCTAACATTCGTAAGTTAACACTTACGCAGATTGTAGTCATCTTATCATCTATATATATTAAACTGTGATAAAGAAGTTAAGCTGGTCTAACGATGCAAGTAAGTATGTATGGAAAACGTGCCAATACGCGGGGCATCCAATATTAAATCGATGAATCAATCTCCACACTGTGATTTCATAGCTTATTTTATTAGTGGTAACTAATTTTAAATTTTATTCAAGATTATATTGGCACTGGTAATGATTTCTGGTGTTGTCACCACTACTATTAGATGGCGCTAGTATGATTGTTACTATCATACTAGAAAGAGTGATAGTGTATTTATTCGGTTGAAAAAAATTTTGCGCTGTAAAAGTATATGGTAAAAAAGAGTCTATAGTAAGATAAGATGTTTTAAAGGAGCAAATTTTTAAGCAACTAAGTAAATTAAGTAAGTTATATATCAATATTATTTTAACAAAAAAACAAAAATTAACCAAACGACAACCAATATGACCGCCAATCTAACTGGCGCTATCAACTTTTAAATTAGTTGTGATTCGATTGCTCATATACCGTATATCAACCAATATACTGCCTTCAATTGAAGGATCCACATACTTGTTTATATAATACTTTTGAAATAACATATAATCTGCGTAAGTGCAAACCTACCAATCTCGGACCTTTGTTTGTAATGGTAAATAACCGTTGACATATTGTTAACTTAACTATTGAGCAAATTATAACGCAGGTGCTCAGTGAAGTCGGGTAGAATGCTTTAATGGGTCTACAAAAAGTAACGTAGGCCAGCATGCGAATTTCAGACAGAATTTTATATTTTAAATTACTTATATAAGAAGACTTGTAATAGATTCTACTCTTGATTTCGAAGAAGCAATTTCCCGTTTTTCCTTCTTTAAATACACTAATTATACAAATTAAAGTGGCTACAGCCTTTGTCATGTGTGAATTGTAATTAACCAGGTTTTTATTCTAATAGTAAATTTGGGAGAAATATCAACCTTCTAAATGGATACCTTGTATCCAAGATGTGAGGTCTGCTGATTGGGGACATTCAAGAATGTTCTCAGGTTCATCTGAGGTCAATAAGCGACGAGCTGCAGTCTGACCAGAAAGATACGCTCCATGTACTGTCGAGTAGAAGCTGCTATGTGTATGCTCTCCAGCAAAGAGTAAAACAGGCTGAAAATAGTAACATCATATGTATGTTTAAATAATGAACTAAATTTTTATGGCCCAAATATTTTAGTTATGGCTTGAATGGAATAAAACACTTACAAGAACTTTTTCAAATAGAGTGAAATACCTTATTTCTAACTAATGCCATAATTGAAAATTGTTATATAATTTATCAATTATAACTATAAAAAATATAAACTTACAGTAAGAAATCGAAATAATAGCAAATTTTAAAAGTAACTTTGTGATTTTTTCTATTTAGTAAAATAGCTCGGTGGCGTAGAGGATAAGTGCTGCGGCCCGCGATCGTTGTCGTTAAGCAACTTTCGCAAGGGTTGGTCATGGGATGGATGACTAAAAAATTATTATCTCGAGCTACTCCGTGCTTCGGAAGGCACGTTAAGCCGTTGGTCCCGGCTGCATTTGCAATCGTTAATACCCTCCAATCCGCATTGGGCCAGCGTGGAGGGTCATGGCCTATCCTCCTTAACCATCCATAAGAAAGGTCTGAGCCCCTGCAGTGGGGACGTAAAAGGGCTGATGCCAAGTAAATTTTATAAATATTCTTAATAAAAAATCAACCAGACACTGGTTCCATGAGATAGGACTCAAACCCACAACATTTCGCAATCATGACAGAACTCTTAGAAATGTGATGTAGTTTTCACATTTTAAATACTTCTGATTTGAACATAATTTCTTTGTACTATATTTTTGTAGTTCTGAAAATGATGCTTAATACAAATTGCCTATGAACCCCAAAGGTGCTAACAAATTAGGTACAGATATTTTTATATCTGATAGAACTCTGTTCTCAGAGTAAATAGAAAATAAATGTTAATGAGCAAAAAAAAAAAAATTTTAATGAGATAATTAAATGATATCTCTGAACACATTTTAGTTAATTATCATGTAAGTAAGATGCACAGCAGGATAATTTTTAGACAGAATTATTAATTACTTTTTTGTTTGGTAAATATAATAAAAAATATATATGAAAAATTTACTTATAAAGAAAGGTACCTCTCTTAAAATATTAGTAACTAGCTTGTGACCACCCAATATATATTTTTTATTCATGAGGTTTAAATTTATCTGTCCAAAAAAGAATTATTCATTTAAAAAATCAAGCACCTTTTTATCATGGACATTCCGGAATAATGGTTGAGCTATACTTTCTATGTCACTCTGGCTTGCTCCTACAGCTATAGCAGTGTATGTGCCTCTGGTGTAAGGCTGTTTTCTCCAACTTGTGCTGAAATACATTTTTTTTTTATATTTAAGGTTTAATATTAATGGATCATGTTTAAAAATCAGAGAAATAACATTTGTTTCATAATAAATTAAGTTTATAGTAATAAATTACATACCAGACACATTTAATGGGTTCTGGAACAAAGGGGTCATTTAGAAATTTTCGTAAAATGTTTGTGCAAGTTACTCCCACTTCTTCCATAGACAATGTTTCCATATATTCAGCTTCCTTGCCTGAAACCCATCCTAACAGAAGAGTCTCTGATACTTTGCTGAAGGAATATATCTTTTTGAACCATGACTCTCTCATATCATCAGATGTTGTGGAATTTTCCCATAACAACATGATTTCTGTAACTTCAGGATTTAGAAAAGGTCTTTCATATTCTAAGAAAATTTTATTTACAGTACCAAAAAGTAATCTCTCAATAGATTCAATTTTATAATGTGGTAAGGCTGGTTCAAATAGAGTTGTTACATGTTCTTTGAGAACACCTAGTGGAATTGTACATATCACATGATTAGCATAAAAAGATTGTCCATTTTCACATATAACTTCTACATAAAAAGGATTTTTATTTCTCTTTGGCATTTGTGGATTTTCAGCTATTGAAGATTCTTCTTCAGTTCTGTTTTCATTAGTTGAACTCAAACTTTTAGAAACATCTTCAATCACAGTTTGATCGGAATCCTCAGATTCCTCACCTAAATCTTCTAGTAATCCTTGTGTACTATGTTTTGAATCCCAAACTATCTTTTTTACAGGTAATCCAGTCAATATTTTTTCAGGAGGAATATTTTTTGTCATTGGCTCAAGAATAGAACTAAAACCTGATGGGATCATAATATTACCTCCTTGCAATTCTGTATAACTACCTATTTCTAAAAGGTCAATTTCATCCATAGTATTACAACCTGATATACAGGTTTCTCTTTTTAACAAACAGTCGAATATAAGACGCCTTAATTTTTTTTCTTCAGATGATGGTAAGCGTTCTAGATATATTGTGGCTTCTAAGTTTATGTGCTCACCTACACTATGGATATCAGGCGGAGGCAAATATTGACAGAGAAAGTACTCCTCACATCGTCTTAAAAAGCATACATAGGCTTCGTGTATTTCATGTAACACCCCAAAAGGAACTTGTTTTCCATCTTCAGTCGCTGCTATAACTTTATGAGGTTTTGGAATATTGATTATATTTACAAGATTATTGGCCATAGCCAATTCAAATATGGGGTTACCTAAAACGCCATGAATCCAATTAGCTCCTAATTCAATATTATGATTCTTCAATGGGATAGAAATAATACGACCGCCCAAACGTTTTCTTGCTTCTAAAATTAAAAAGTCCTCCATTCCATTTTTTACAAAATAATTAGCGGCGGCTAATCCGGCTACGCCGCCGCCTATAATGATCACATTACACTTACTAGAGTCACATATTTTACTGGAATTTATGTTTTCGTCACCCATATTAGATTTTTAAATCGATATGTAGGACTTCGCTTTTTGACAATATATTTCTTTTTCATTTTACTCCTTGGCTTTGACGTTTACTAAAGCAGCTGTAAGAGCGCCTGTTATCAGAGACCAATGACTAACCACAGACCAACGCATACATTAAACGACCAATGATTATTGTTGTCTGTCTATGCGACCAATGATGCTGCATTTTATCCCGAAATTTTACAAAGAAGCTAATGCCATCTCTATTACTGAACCAATAACTTTTAGAGAACTTGTTTATTAAACAGTCAATAGATGGCATTAGATATATTTCAATGTTGCATCTTCAAAAAATAAGAGGAAATGCTTTTTATTTTAATATTATTATTTTTATGCCTCAATCCTATTAATATTATAAAGGCGAAAGTTTGTAAGTATGGATGTATGGATGTTTGTTACTCTTTCACGAAAAAACTACTGGACGGATTTGGATAAAACTTTACAGCAATATAGGTTATACATCAGAATAACACATAGGGTACTTTTTACTGGGAAAACTTCTCACTCCCACGGGATACCGACTTCCACGCGGACGAAGTCGCGGGCGTCCACTAGTTATTTAATAATATTAAAATATGAAATAACTATTGAAATAAAATTTTCTAATTTTCTTATATTTAATATGGTAACATTAAATCAAAAATTTATATTATCAACAAAATAAACAAAATGGCTGCAGATTGGTCGTAATCGTAGCTTGCGTATGCGCTTCTGTGTTTTCGATCAATTTTGTGACTTTTGAGTGTTTTCTCTACTGTATACGTTGAGTTGAGGTCCGTCTCCTCCGTATTAGTATTGAGTTTTGCTCCTGTCTTCCTCCGTGTTAGGATTACACGTGACGTGATTGCGAAACAGACGCTTTTTTACTTTTGTATTGTGTTTTGTGTGGTGTTTTCGTGTTACTAAAATCGCTACTATGCCAGGTCATCATTGCCTTCTTGGATGTAAACAGTCTGGTAAGTTCTCAAAAGAAATTTTATTGAATAAATAAATACTTTGAATTTGGATACCGACTCAAGACTATTTAACATCAAACAAACTTATGAAACCACTATGTAAATAAAGAATTATTTTGTAATTAAAGGCTTAAATTGTCTTTTTAATCCTATTAATATTATAAAGGCGAAAGTTTGTAAGTATGGATGTATGGATGTTTGTTACTCTTTCACGAAAAAACTACTGGACGGATTTGGATAAAACTTTACAGCAATATAGGTTATACATCAGAATAACACATAGGGTACTTTTTACTGGGAAAACTTCTCACTCCCACGGGATACCGACTTCCACGCGGACGAAGTCGCGGGCGTCCACTAGTAGAAAATATGTGTATGATTTGCCATCGTTGTGTATTAGTAGCAGGGTTGTCAGATGGGCTGAAGAGAAAAACCGTACAAAATTATTGTATTAATTTTTTATGAAAAAAAAACATTCAATAAGATCGTTTCTTATTGTAAGAGTCAATTTACTTTTGACATATCAGGTGTGCTTGATTATGCTATACAATCCCCACATAGTATAAAGCGAAGTCACTTCCCGCGTCTGTATGTATGTATGCTTAGATATTTAAACCTACACTACCATTTAGAATGCGACTTTTATAAATAGATAGAGTGATTTAAGAGAAAGGATTATACCTATGTATAATACAAGACCACGCAGGCGAAGTCGCTGGTGGCAGGCTAGTTTAAAATATGTTAATATATGTATTGATCTTATGAACAATGAAAGTTAAGATTTTCATTCTTGAATTATTTTTGTTGTGCCCTAATAAGAAATACCAGTTAACAATAAAAAAGTTATTTTTATTAATTAATTAGTTTGTGTCGGTAGGTTTTAAAATAAATTGTTAATATTATTTTCAGATGCTGCTATACATGTTTTCCCAAATCCTGACAAATATCCTGAACGTTTCAAAGTTTGGGTTGAACGTGTTGGAGGGAATTTGGAAAAACCATCTGAATTTTATAGAAACAAGAGGATTTGTGACATCCATTTCAAAAATGAACATAAAAACCGTAATAACCGCTTAAGTGCTTTAGCAGTTCCATGTCTACATTTGCCTGGTAAGAAGATTATTTTTTTTTAATTTAATGCTAATAGGGTACTTGACACTATTGAAAATAATTTGCAATTTGTGGTCATCCTGCAAGATAATAATCTAATGAAGTTTATTTCTTAGAATCTGCAGAAACAATATGTTTAGATTAATTAAAATCACATAAAGAAAATGCAATATTTTTAGACATTTCAAGAACCACGAAAATGCCCTGTGATTGGCTGCCGTCTCGACTAAGTCTCAATCAATAGGAGGTTTTGTTGAAACCGGAAACTGTCATTATCTATGATGTCAAAACAGTGTTACAAATTCGTATTTATGCACACAGCTTGTAGCTCATTTTATAAACGAAACCAAAGTAGATATAAATACAAAAAATGAATTCTAACTTTAATTTCTCTTCTGTAATACTATTTGTTTACTTAATAAGTACATAATTAGGTTATTTCCACAGTATTGGCGTGGTACTGTCACAGATGCCACCCCAATACTGAGCAGCGTTTTTCGCGCGATTCTGGTTATTTAAACTTTAAACATTATTTTCATTGTAAATAGAATAAATGAAATATTTTGACAGTGTGTTTATAATGTATGAAACAATGATTTAAAATAGTTTTCAGAAATGTATTAAATACCCTATTATATGTACCAAGTTTTAAATGCTATATTTTATCATGTGCAAGAATAGTGCATAGAAAAGTTAACCATTCTTCCTTATAAAATCAACTAATTTTCATTCCAAATTTAGCCAAATGTAAAGTTCCAATGTTATTTCATCTTTTAGATTGTGATTACACAGACTGTAAATGACTTATAATGTTATTCTTCTAATATATTCTTCTAAAAAGAATAATATATTTAAAATTATATTAAAGTGCTGAATAATTTTAATTTATTTTTCTTGCAACAAGTTGTTTTTGGATTCAATTGACATTGTATTGTATTTAATGTTTTTTTTTTCAATATTGCAGGTGGATCAGTTAATCGTACCACTGAAAGTAACACACAAGCACCTGCTGCTAATGCTACTTCAGGTAAGGTTTTAAAATTAGTAATATTTTGATGTTTTCAAATACAATAAAAATTTCAGAATTTGTAGTCATAATATTAACATGTTTCCTGCAAAGATATTACAATATGTAAATGTATAAGTGTATTAGCAAATTTTAATAAAATATAAATAAAATAAAATAAATAATATAAATATATAAAATTATTGCCCCTGCAATGGGGACGCAAAAGGGCTGATGATGAGGCACACAATTCTTTATAAAGTAATAAGAGATTATTTTGTCTTCTCTTAAATTATATCAATACATATAATTTTTTTGCTATTACATATACCATCGTTTCTCAAGTGGTTAAGAAACGATGGCATATATATTTGAGATGATTCAAGTTTATAAAAAACTATCAATATATTTCAGATGAAATGATTACTCAACATTCTGCGGTTGTCAGCCAACCTAATCTTTCATCTATAGCTCCTCATACATCAGGTATTACAGTTATTTTATTATAATAATATCCACTAACAAATAAATATTTCTTTCTACAATATTTTTTAAAATAATGCTTGTATTTATTTTTAGATGTTATGAATCAGAGCAGTACATCTGTGGTTAAGGAACATAGCTATAGTGTTATAAGCAGATGTGAGAAAAAGCAACCAGTTAAAGGTAAAAAGAAGTGTAATAATTTAGACAAATTATTACAAAATCTAATTTAATTATAGTGATAATCACTGATATTGCATTTATTATCAAAATATTTTTTCCTTTTTCAGTTGCGTTGATGGGCTACCAAGCAAGAGCATATCAATATAAAATAAAAGCTCTACAGTCAAATTTATGTCGCCTGCGTAAAAAGACTCAGAGTCTGAAACAACGTCTTGTTAATGCTGAAAAAATATCTAATGATGTATACTTTCAACATGTTATTGCAAACATGAAAAAACCTGCTCAAATATTTATACAAATGCAAAAACAGGCAAAGAAAGACGCAAAAGGAAGAAGATTTTCCACAGAAGAGAAAATTTTATGTCTTTCCCTTTTCAAAAAGAGTGCAAAGTGCTATAGACTTTTGTCTAAATACTTCACTTTACCATCAAGTAGAACTATGAAACGTGTTTTAAGTAAGATTAAAATTAGCGAAGGCATAAACAAAATTATATTTGAAAAAATAAAGCACTCTATGAACGATCAGGAAGTACCTGATCGATTGTGCACTCTCATTTTCGATGAAATGTCGATCACACCTCAGGTGTTTTATGATAGCAGTGCTGATAAATTTTCAGGATTTGCCTCCAATCAAGACACAGCATTCGCCGATCACGCTCTTGTATTTATGGTAAAAGGCGTGAAAAAACATTATAAACAACCAGTAGCTTACTATTTTACTAGTGGCCTTAAAAAAAATGAATTAAAAGAGTTGATAAAAAGTGTTATCAAAGAGGTCTTGAAGACAGGTCTGATTGTGGTTGCAACAATTTGCGACCAAAGCGCAGTTAATGTCGGAGCAATCACAGAATTAATTGAAGAAACGAAAGCCACGTATATTCGCCAAGGAAAAGAATGGCAAAAAGATGTATTATATCTATACGGAAAAAAAATTATCCCTTTATATGATACCCCGCACCTTATAAAGGGCATAAGAAATAATCTTCTTAATAAAGATTTATACTATACTGTAAACAATCAAACAAAAACTATTAAATGGGAGTATTTTGTACAAATATATCATGCAGATAAGGCTCAAGGAGAATTGAGATTATTAAACAAATTAACAGAAGAACACATTAATAAAGCAAAAATTAATAAAATGCGCGTCAAGTCGGCTACACAACTATTTAGCCATAGTGTTGCAGTTGTCACCAGCCATTTGGCAGCTAGAGGTGAAGTCCCTACAGAATGCCAGCAGTTAATTGACTTCACATTATTGATCGATAATATATTCGACTCATTAAACGGAAGTTCATATACAGTAAGTAATGGAAAAATTTATAAAGGTCCTCTTAAAAGGAATTCTCCACACCATCAGCTGTGGAAAAATGCTATTACAATATTAAAAACTGTTAAATTTGTGAACAAAGTGAGATTGACTGAATCAATAGCGCCTTCTGTTAAAAATTTAATAAAAACGATTGAGGGAATGCAAACCATCTGGCAAATTTTAAATAAAAAATATGATATGGATGCAGTTCTCACAAGAAATTTTAATCAAGACCCGTTAGAAAATTTTTTCGGAAGCATCAGGAGTTATGGGGCTAGAAATATTGCTCCAAACACTGTCTGTTTTGAAGGAGCTTATAAGGCTTTAATGGTCAATAATATGAGTTCTCCTCACTCAAAAAGAGCAAATTGTGAGGAGGATTCAAATGAGTGCCTTCAAAATTTAAATTTTTATTTAAAAGAAAAAATTGATTGTACTCCTGTTGCTTCCGAAAATATCAACTATAATTTAAATCTGGAAGCATATGCCCAGTTAAACGAGAATGATGCTGGGCAAAGTAATTATGTGTGTGGCTGGGTCATAACTAAATGTTTAAAAAAAATTATTAAAAAATGTGAGAACTGCAGAAAAAATATATTAGAAAAGAACAATAATATTAATAACAATTTCATAAGACGCAAAGAATACTGTAATAAAAGATGGTTGTGTTACCCAAATGCTGAAATGGAAAAATATTTTAAAAGTATACAAAATATTGCTGTCTCTGTATTAAAAAAAAATGTTTCAAAAAATAATATAAAAAGGTCAATTCTTTTATATGAAGATTTGTTAATTGAGTGTCCATTTAGATGTCACATTCATAAAGTTGAATTAAAATCATATTTTGTAGATATCACTTTAAATGTGATTTTACACAGTTGGACCAGGTCAGTCAATCGAATTTTGTCTGGAAAGATTACATATGACGGTGACGATGAAATGAAAAAATCAGCGCAATTATATTTCAATAAACGAATACATTACAAAAACAGAAAATAAAGACATCATGTATTTATTATGTGTCAATAATCTAATACAAAGGTGAGCTGCAATGAGTGGATAAGTGTACCTTACATTGCAGTGGTGATTGACTAATTTAATTTCTTTGTTTGAATGAACCAATTTATATAGGTATCAACCTATAAGTATAATTGGTTGATTATCATGTTCAGTATAATAATAAAAATTTAAAATATGTTAACGCGAATGATTATATTTATGTTTTAACAAACAAACTGATTGTATGTTATTCAAAATTTATAATTGATTTCGTTATATTTTAGATAGTTTTGTAGACTTATCTAGGAAACAATATTTGCTATGGGTATTTCATTATATTCGCTAGTAAGTATACAATACAATAAGTGTTGAGTTACATACATACAGCAGTCCAATACTGCAAATGTTTAAGTAATAATCGCATCTCAATAGAATCTCAATTATTTGCATTTTAACATTGTACTATCTACCCGAAGTATAATATTATTATAAAACTGACGCAATTTATTTGTGAGGAAGACATTGCACCAATAATATTGAACTTTTGGTAAAATACAAGTCGTTCAGATTCTATCGAGATACTATTATAAGGTTAACATTAGGAAATGCCTGCCGGCCATTTTCATTATTGCTAAGGTTCAGTATTGGATGTAAGGGATCTTCAAAATAAAAATAAAATCACATACTTATAAACCCCGCGAAGGATCCGCCGCGATAATAATAGATATTTTTATTAGTGAATGATATCACAAAAATAAACTTAAAAAAATATTACTCTTATTTTACATTATTTTGAAGTTCTCTATTGCAGCTTTGGTTTGTGTTAACAAAGTGTTAGGTATTGTTATAAAAATCGCATATAAAAAGCTATTCAATTATATATAAAGTAAAATAATTATATAACTATATATTTTGATTCATAAAGCATAACTATATGCAAATTGTAAAATTGAAGTATTTCTCAATTTCGCTCCAAACTCAAGTTTCCTCTCTTCTGCATCCAATGTTACACTTCGATCTTCTTCTAATCTCACCCTCGAGTTTCCTCGCCACTCTACTGATTTCTATTCCTTTTCTTTTACTGTACACGCTGTTCGTTTATGGAACTCTCTTCCAGAGAGCATCACGAAAGCTCGCTCATTGACTACTTTTGGCGATCAGGTTATAAGCTATTTGCTTTCCATGTCTTGAACTTATTTATACATTCTTTCTATATATTATGTTTATCTTTTTCCCTGTGTATTAGTCTATTGGATTTATCTGGTTTGTATATTGCTTGTTGCACCCACTCCCCCTTATTTTCTCTTTATTTATTTATTTTCCTCCATAGGTTGCCTGGGAGAGATCGCTATTTAGCGATAAGGCCACCTGTTGTGTACTATTTTTCTCATGCTGTGTAATTTGTTAATTTTCCTGTGTTGTGTGCAATAAAGATAAAGTATATTATTATTATTATTATTCTTCTAGATTTAGAATTTTTGATCACTACTAATTTAATAAATACAGAACCATAAGGTTAGTCTAGAATTGTTGGGAATGCCCTAAATAGGTATTGAATTGAATTATTATAGAATGTACTTGTTTCTTGAATAAAGTAATAAATTGGTATTTCAATTTGTTTTATTCATCTTCCCCTATTCATAAAATATGTCTTATATTTGTTGCATTGTCTTTAACAGCGATCTAAGCATTAATTTTGCTTTTATCGTTATTAAAGGCAATGTATTAAATAACTAGCTACAAATACAAATAAATAGTAATATAGATAGGTACCTATACCTATATATATATATATATATATACACTAGTTTCGGGTTCAGAAATGCAGAGGCGCTGCTGTCTATCGGTTGGCAAAAATAAGTCGCAAGAGGTCTCTCTTTTTCCTAAATATAATAATTCCTTATTTTATCTAATTAAAGGTATCCGCCATTGCCTTCATGTAGGGTCATGAATGGGCTACTTTTTATGCAGACTCACGATTTTATTTTTCTCTCACGTTCGGTCCTCTTTAGTCAATGATTTCGAGTTTGTGATTGCCAGGCCTATAAATAACCCCCTCTCAACTTCTGTCAGATATGTTTCTCTCTTTCTTACAAAGTACAATCTTCACATATTCTATCTCTTTCCAATGACCTTTGATTTCGCTGAATAATAATAATAAAATCTTTGTTTACTTCTCGATGTGTATCTTCGGGAAGTGTTTTTGTTATTGTGTAGAGCATTTGTGATAAATCATTTTGTGTAATTTGTGGCAGTTCAAGTCATATATTACTATAATTTGAAAATAGTGTTGCGAATTCGAGAACACCAAAGTATAGTTTTGTAGTGTGAAATCATTTTTGACTCTATAAATTCGATAACGAAAGTCATTGTGAATTCAAGTCATCCAAGTGCTTAATTTTTTTACTGTTGGTGGTTTATTTAGTTATGTAATCAAATATGATAATAGATTTGACAAACATATCGAATCAAAACTTTGGTATGTAGATGACGCTGTGTATTTTCAGAAATAAATAAACATTGTGTTTATAACATAGGACACGTGGGTATCGCGCTGAATAATAAATCGATAAAGACGTAAGACGCGTGCGCCAGTCTCTATCAACGAGACTATTATATATCAAGGTCAGTCTGCACAAACACGTGCAATGTCTGATTCTATTTACTCACATGACTTTCTTTTAGAGCCTGGCGTTGAGATAAAACAGGAGTCCCCTTTTGAGTTGGGTACCATGTCAGCGTCAGTACCCATTCCGCAGAGGCGCAATGATCTTGGAGATTTTGGCACTGATTTAGATTTGTGCATACAGGACAATCTCCCAGGGTCTTTTCATAATATGCCTAATATGCAGTATAGTAAATTAACATTTGATAATGATAGTTCATCTAAAACAGAAACTTTTAAAATGGATGATGATGACATATTTCAAGTAGATAAGGCAGATTTGATATTAGGCCCTACTCTTGCTGAATTGAATGCTAACCCAGACACCTTGTTAGAGGATTTAAATTTTGATGATTTGTTGCTACCTGAAGAGAGTGGCTATTGCATTCAAATTGGTGGAGTTATGAGTGGGTCTCGGCGTTCACACAATGTTATGCAAGTTACAAATACAATAACAGCGGACAGTCCATGCAGTCCATATAGTCGAGCACAACTTGCATTTTCTCCATCAAGTCAGCACAGCTCAGCTTCTTCTAGTTTTGCCCAACCTATGAACCAACTTCCTGAGCTCCTTCAGCGGCTTGATGGTTATAGTGGGGAGATAGCTCTAGGCCAGTCTGTCCCAGCTTCTACTGTGCTGCCACCTTTTCCTGCAAGTGTCAAACCTCAACATACACAATTATCGTCATCTGCCCCAACACATCTCACAATGGAACAGGTAATAAAAAAGATTGAAAAATACATTATCCTCTTGAATTCCTCTGTATATTGATGAAAACCGCATTAAAATCCATTGTATAGCTTAAAAGATGTTAGTGTACATAAAGGTGTCACGATTGTACTTTATACTAAGTACATGACATTTTTTGCTATTAGATATGGTCACGCCGTGAACCTCGTAAACACCTGCTGTCTACTAGTTCCCTTGCTGAGGCTGGCTCCATATCATCATTATCTGGAGGTGTACTTAGTCCAGGTACTGGAGACTTCTCGCAGGATGAAGAAGACAGAGATGTTGAATCTGATGAAGACAGTGACCGATATGAAGACCTTTCTTCAGATGGTATGCTTATATTGCTTTTTTATTACTTATATTTTTTTAAAGTCAAGCTCAGTAGATCCTAGAAGTGTTGAAATTTCATATAGAAATGAGCACCTTAGTAAAACTTGATCTTAAAAGTAATTTGTTGTACTTATAGTAAAGCATAACTCAAATTGAAAACAATATTTCTTGATTATAGTTGCAATTGTTCTAGAAAAAAAATATTAATTATTTTTAGAAAAAAGTTACATATTATACATTTTGTTACTGATAGATTAAAATACAAAGGATCTCTATTTAGAGCATCTACATTTATTACATAAGATTCATTGCCAATTATTCTTAAACATTGTCAGAATCACTGCAACAACCATCTAAGTTCCCTATCCTATGAATTGCAAATAACTTGAAAAAGTATAATTGTTTACATATGTTTCAATTTATTTTCAGAATCAAATGATGAAGGTTCTGAAAGTAAACAAGCAAGGCAAAATGCTAAAAAGGAAAGATACTTTTGGCAATACAATGTGCAGGCTAAAGGTCCTAAGGGACAAAGACTAGTTTTGAAGAAGAAATCAGAAGATCCTCATGTCTTAAATTCTGTCACAGACCCTGTATTTAGCCCAAATTGTAGTGTGAGAGGCATCAAGCACAGGTAACTTTTCAAGATATCGACGCTGGAAAGCAGACACATACTAACCTGCAAAACCAAAATTGTTCTTGAGAGCAGAAAAACTTTTATTTTTTTGGTAAATAATTCCTATAAACATCCTTGGTAACAAATAAGGTGTTCCTTAGTTAATTTACACAGAAACAAGAATTTTTTGGTAAAATATAAAGATTTACAACTCTAAATATCCATTTTGGTTTTTGCAGGTTACTACGTGTTTGCTTTCTAGCATCAATATGTTTGTTACTAAGGTTTCTATATGGTATTTCGTTAAGAAATTGGATTTTTATTTCAAATTTGGTTAGAAAATGACTGATCCAAAACTGATAAAGACTCATGTCCACTTTCATACGCTGATTGACCTGTTACATGTTATTTTAAAGGTGACCCACCATTAGTGATAGTTTTATCATATAATAAAATAATATCTTAGCATTTTTATCAGGAGGCCAGCGAGATTCGTAATTAGTAAATAAAGTTTTGAGATAAAAAATCCACTTTGTCTCTGGCACTCTGAGATGGGACTCGAACCTATGTCCTTTCGCAATCCGGGCGCCTACTCTACCCATTGAGCTACCCAGGACCCATTATGACAGGCGAGTCCTTCAAGCACATGTTACTTTTTCGCTACTACTTTTAGTATAGCGTTGTCAATGCAAAATTGATGAAATATAATAATAAGAATAAGCATAATCAAAAAATACTGTGATTAAAATTATGAAATATTTACATAAATAAAAAAGTTATGGGACTTTGAAGTTGCGCTTCCTGGAATAATTTTGCTTCCCGCGGTACCTCAGCGTGTGACGTCACACTACCGAACCTGTCCGCGAGTAAGCCGCATGGCTCAGTACAGTAGTACGTTCGTTTTTGAGCATCGCCTGCATCTTAAGGCGCGTTATGTCTTTTACTCGATGGAGGGTATTAAAAAATCTTCTATTAGTATTGTAATGTCCCTATGTATTAAAGTACATCAATAAAAAACCCCAATCAAATATTTTGAATAAGGAAACGAAAAAATCTGAAAACGTTTAATAGAATGCATCTACTTATAATATAGTTTCGTACTAAAGTGGCTGTGTCATACTGGCAGAGGCACAGACCTAAGTATCGAATAGGTTCTAATGTATTCAAATGTTATATAATATTCGAACTTGCCTATTGTTTATACTGATTGACATCTAAACAAGTTTAATGCACATTAAAAGTAATATCTTTACCTTTTGTAGGGTAGAAAATATTCCTATACATTTTTGTCTTTTTACCTGACTACGGCAAAGCGAAAAGGAGGGTTATGATTTTGGCCGGTATATATGTAAGAATGTTCATATGTTCCCTTATAATTTCGAAATACTCATTTTAACTGGACAAAGGAGATCATTAGAAGCGTCTATGTTATCCACGTGCTATAGGCTATGTGACGTAACATTAAATGCAAAAGTGGTGTTAAGGTCTTCGAATGTCAAATTACAATTCCCCAGCACTCGTTGCAATGGATACTTGGTTGACTTTACACCAGCTTCCCAAAGTCCACCAAAATGAGGAGTGTACGCGAGTATAAAATGGAAGTGAATACCATCATTTGCTAAACCTTTGCTCAAAGAATTGCAACTGCCTTTTAAGAATTTCGACAACTATTTATATGGACCAACAAATGTTGTTCTATCATTGGAATGAATATTAAAGGGTTTCCCTCTTCGCGCAATAAAACGACTCAATGCCAATAAGTAATTATTGCTTATAATTCTTATAAGTCACCAATTTCAAATATACGGCTTTAGTCGTGAAACATATAAAAATCGCAATATATGCCTTTATCAACTTACAATGACGACCATGACGACTTGCTATGTACATATGTATATAACAGGACCAGCATAGTCGAAAGTTCTGAAATGGATAACCGTCTGGAATAAGCCGATGCTGTGGTAGGTTTCTCATTAAAGGACTATCAATTTTACCTTTTATGCAAGTACATCTTAAACATTTGTGATAGCAAGCCTTTGCTAAAGGCCGACAACCAATCGGCCAGTAGGTATTCCTGATAGATGCCAATAATATTTGAGGACCTGCATGCATAAGCTTAATATGTTCATAATCAAAAAGTAATTTAGAAAATAAATTAGTGGACTGTATTAAAATAGGGTGTTTTTAATTATAGAAAAATGTTGAATTGTAAAGACGACCACCGATACGCATTATTTTGAAACGTTGTAACACGTTGAATTTTAAAAGACTGTTCTTTTTATGTATAGTTTGGTTTCTTAATAGCAACTTGTATTCGGGAAATGATTTCTGTTGACTTTGCCTGATGATAATTAGTAAGGCTTTCTGTAACTCATGCATCTTCTAAAAAGCTTTTCATAACAGGTTGACCTTTACATTTCTGAATAAAACGTAGAACGTGCTTACGTTCTGTGCTACTGAACGAAGTAATCGCGAATAATTTGAAAAGCGTTTAGAAATTAATAAGAGAAGTATCGTCTACACAAGCGCTTAATGATATATCTGGTTTAGTGTCCGGTAATACTATAAGATGACTAGGCTGAGAAGACCAGTCATTCTGATCATGTAATAGATATTCTAGACCAGACCACCACAAATCTAAATCTTGAAAAGCACTAATATCAACTCCACGGGATACTAGGTCTGCAGGGTTTTTATTCGTGGGAACATGTTGCCATGTACAATTGTCTGTCTTATTCATGACTATCAAAAATCCTCGAAATAGCCGAGAGCAAATCTCGCTTAATATTGCTGTTGGATATTGAAAGACTATTAGAAAGCACAAATTATCTGTACTTGAATGCCAACCAAGACCCAACAATTTATTTGGTTCATCAGACCCTATATTTAAATTAACAAATAAAGCACCATCAGAATCAGATACTAATTGAGGTTCGTTTGATTTGATACCCATTTTCTCAAATGCATGTCACCAGATGCCAGTTCATCGGTAACATCCTTTCGTATGCCTTGCATAATGTTCAGATCACCTCCAGTTAGCAAATCATCAACGTAAAAATCATGCATGATGATTTCAGCAACAGATTAATTTGCACATTCTAAACCTATATAGTTGCAAGAAATGGTGCACTCGCCGTTCCATAAGTGACGGTGTTTAATCGGTATACTTTAATTGGTTCAGAGACATCGTTGCGCCATAGTATTTGTTGTAGATGTCTGTCAGATGGATGTACGACTATCTGCCTATACATCTCCACGCCGGCAAATAAAACATATTTGTGTTGTCTAAAACCTAGAAGTATAGACAGGTCATTTTGGACAGTAGCGCCGACCATCTGAATCTCATTGCATGACATCTGATTATGTTGTGTGAATTTCGGTCATGTGGCTTAATAATTTGTATTCCGTTACTATTAAAAGATCTTCTTTTGAGGGTTTATAAAAAGTAGGGTTAGCCAAACAAATATCGGACGGAATTATCAAAGCAGTCAGATCTATTTCACGACCCGGTTGATAAAGCAATATTATTATTTTCGATGGTTAAAGCAGGAACCAACAATACTGCCGATGTTGAAGCAGCCCATCAGTAACAGGTTCCGCTTTAGCTACGCGCACCAGAGTATTGTGGCGTCGTTTACATATTTTAGAGCCTTGCTTTTTACAATTGTATTTGCAAAGTTACCTGTTCGAAAACAAAACAAACTTTTAAGCTTGGGATTTCTTTAAGACAGGCTTTGTTAGTTAAGGCTGTAGGCAATTATTTAAATGATGATCACCATTACATTTACGATAAGATTTTATAGAACTTTCAGTACTTGAATTAAATGAGTTTTGTGTTACGAGAGTTTTCAACTTAGTGTGCGATTTATTTTGAGAATTTGAATATTTGTTGCGTTAGTTATCAACTTTAAAGTTTCAATTAAATCCACATGATTACGTAAGAACCCTAGAAAAGTATCAAATGTGATCGAATTATCTTTATTCAAGTGACCTTTAAACTCTTCCCACTCACGATAGGTTTTTTGGTCCAATTTTTGTGTGACAATGTAAATTAAAAGTGTGTCCCGCTGTTTTTCTGGTTCACCTAAAGATTCAAGAGCACGAAGGTTCTTGTAAAGTTGGTCAATTAACCGTTTGAGAATAAGGGTCGTTTCTTTAGTAATCATATCAAGAAATAATGAGGCAGACACATGTTTTTTTTATTAATATATAATTTCATATTTTAATTGCCTATTTATTCTTATTATCAATAACCACTACGCAACAGCAATAATGTGCTAATATGTACTTATATAATTGAAAACCTCAACATTACTCAATAGGTTATGTAGGCGTTGCTGTTTAACCGTTGATGATGGTGAAAAACAAAGACGAATTTCTTCTATAGATGATTTATTTTCTTCTTACTGGCTACTTATTACTGCCTGACTATACTGCTTGACTGACTTGACTTGACTACAAAATATTTACAAATTTGGCCCTACCCTTATTCTAAACTTAACATCTAACTTAGCTACTAGTGACGCGCGGCGGCCGACCAATCACAGCGCGTTTTACGCCCGCGCGCCGGGTGGGGGAATCGCCCCCACCGTGCGGACGGCGCATACGCAGCCAATGGGCTCCCTGAGAATTCCGCAAATGTAGGCGCTGTGATTGGTCGTTCGATCTGTACATTTTTCGGCACGTGGCTGTCGTCAACAGTCTCCCCCCGGCGAAGGATCTCCGCAGCCTCCTCCGGTTGGCAGCCCCGTGCCCGTCGCGCAGCGCGTCCTCTCTCATCGTTCCGTGGAGAGTGCAGGTTCGACGACGATCAGCTTCGATGTCGGCCGCCGAAATGTTCCTCCTCTTGTCGTTATCTCCACGTTCCGAATCACGCCGTCAGGTCCAGGGTAGGTATTGGCTACGATGCCGCGTGGCCACGTGTTTCGAGGCAGAGCGTGGTCGGCTATGATAACCACGTCTCCGGTCCGTACTTCGCTGCTTCGTGGACGTTGTGGGTCGCGGCATGGTACGAGGGT